TGAGGTTTTCAATTTCCTAATTGATTGTAAGCGAATAAAATAAAAAGAAGAAAGCTTTGAGGAGTACCTCAGTCATGGCTGCGACAATCTGAACCGTTAGGATGCTAATTATTCAAAATTTGGGTGCTAATTACTGATGATTTTCGGAATTGCTTTCAAACCCTAGATTCTTTCTCCCTTGTTTCAAAAGGGAATTGAATCCAGCGGGTTTGCTTCCTGTTTAACGGGGACTGGATCCAAAACCGACAACACAGATATCTCACTTCAACAGGGTTATTGGGTCGGCCCTTTTTGGTATTTTCCCTTTGCAATTACACAACAAAGATAGCCGCATTTTCTTCCCTTCGGCAATAAATAAATAAATAAGTTTGATGACAATATTTTTTGTATTAAGGCCACTTTCTACTGTAAGGTTATGTTATTAAGGTCATTTAAATAAATTAATATTGAATATAAAAAATTAGGATATCTCATGATATATCATAATATGATTTTAAAATCCATATATTGTAATTTTACTATAAATAAAGATTTGTTTATAGTGTTAATAGGAAAAGTTAAGAAAAAAAATATAAACTCTAATTACTTTTATACTTTTCCCGTATTACATTTTTTATAAAAGTCAAATTCCTATTTTTATCAAATAAAATTACGAAAATACTTTTAAATATTTTAATAATATTATTGAGTGAAATTAACAATATAACTTTATTTAAAAACATAACGTATCTACAAAATATTAATAAAAAAAACAAATTACATGACGCTATATAAAAAAAGTTTAAATCACTTAGAATTTATGAGAAGTTTATCTGATGAAAATGAGTTGGTTGTTCCCTGCTTCTCCTTTTTTTTTTTCCCTTTCAAATGTTTATCTTTATATTTATATTCATTGAAGTAAATTTAATCGAATTTTAGTTTGTTATATTAAACTTAATTGAACATTAATTGAATAGCTTTATATATTCATCATAATCAACAAAATTTATCTCATAGATTGTTATGTTTGACACACTATGTTTGAAGTAATTGAAAAAGAGTTTGGAATTGGATATTTAAAAGAAAAGGGATTAACAAGTGGGAATGTAGTAATGCTCAGGATCTGTTAATTTAGTTCAGTAAAAGAGAGCAGGTAATGAACAATGAGAATGTTAATTGAAGATTGTACAGATTGCAGCTGCATAAATTTAAACACCCAAAGTGAAAAACAAGGTTTGTTCTGAAACATGAATGATCTTCCGATCAAGTGACAAAGGAAAGAAACTCTGTTGCTTTGACTGCCATGACACACCAGCTGTGAACCCACTCCTTTACTAGATTTCCCCGACCAACTGACCTAGCTAATCAAAACTCTCTTCACACCCTCCGGTTCTTGCTTCGACTGAAACCAAGTTCCTTTTCCTGGCCTCCCTCTGCTGAAAGATTTCAGAAGGAAAGGAGATAAACATAATGGTGTCAAAGTTGATGTTTTCCTCCGCATTCAAGTGAAAATAAAGCAAACCCGAACCCAAACTCACACCCAAGTACCCCATCTTCGTTTTCTTCCCCAAACCCAAAAACCCTAACGCTCCGAAATCCAGAATCTGAGAGTCAGTCGCCTTCCTTTCCTTTCTCAATGGATGAAACTTTCTTGCTAATGTTATCAAATCTCCTTCACCTGCACAACTCTCTTGACCCCACCACTTCCCTCCTTTCCCCTGCCTCCTCTTCGCCTCCTCCCACTTCCTCGCCTTCCCCTTCCTCTCCTTCCTCTCTGCTTTCCTCCTCTTCCCCTGCCCCTCTTCTCTTCTTCACCCTTGCCTCCCTCCTTTCCTTCCTCGCCACTTCTTCCTCCAAGAAAGGATCCAAGAATTCTTCACCTTCGTCAGAGAATAGAGAACCCAATTCCTCTCCTTCTCCTTCTCCTTCGTCTTCCTCCCACTTCTCCATCTCAGCTTTTCGTGCTCTCTCTACCGACCACATCTGGTCCATGGACGCCCAAAGCCGTGACGCCCTATGGCGGTCCTTGTACGGACTCTCCTACCCCGTTTTTACCACCGTGGTTGAGAAGCTCAAACCTTTTATAACCGCCTCAAATCTTTCCCTTCCCTCTGATTACGCCGTAGCCATGGTTCTTTCTCGTCTCTCCCATGGCTACTCTGCTAAAACCATCGCTTCACGCTCTTCTCTGGACCCTTACCTCGTTTCAAAAATCACGAACATGGTGACTCGTCTCTTGGCCACAAAGCTCTACCCGGAGTTCATTAAGATCCCAGTTTCTCGCAGAAGGTTGATCGAAACTACTCAGGGTTTCGAGGAACTTACTTCACTGCCCAACATTTGTGGAGCCATTGATGGGAGCCCGATAAAGGTCCGTGGCTTGAAACTCGACAGGAATTTGATGAATTCTTATAAATGCAAATACGGGTATGATTCAGTTTTGCTTCAGGTTGTTGCTGACGCTAGAAAAATTTTCTGGGATGTTTGTGTTAAAGCTCCTGGTGCGGCAGATGATGCTACGCATTTTAGGGATAGTTTGTTGTATAATAGGCTTACTTCAGGGGATATTGTCTGGGATAAGATGATCAATGTTAGGGGTCATCATGTTAGGCCTTATATTGTTGGAGATTGGTGTTATCCTTTATTGTCATTTTTGATGACACCCTTCTCTCCGGATGGGGCTGGGACACCGGCACAAAATTTGTTTGATGGGATGCTGATGAAAGGGAGGTCTGTGGTGGTGGACGCAATAGGGTTACTGAAAACAAGGTGGAGGATTCTTCAAGATTTGAATGTGGGACTCAATCATGCACCGCAAACGATTGTTGCTTGTTGTGTGTTGCATAATTTGTGTCAGATTGCGAGAGAGCCTGAGCCTGAGATTCGGAAGGATCCTGATGAAAATGGGGCTCCGGCAAGGGTGCTTGAGAGTGAGAAGCAGTTTTATTATTTTGGGGAAAGCTTGAGGCAGGCATTGGCGGATGATTTGCACCAAAGGCTTTCCTCCCGATAATATCTTCACTTTTGAGAAGAGGTTGATTTTTTTAACCTTGTTTATCTGTAAGAATATGTTTTTGAGTACTTCTAACATGGATGAGATAACATGTGTGATTTCACTCTCACTATGTTTCATCTTTTTCTCGTAAGCGATAGAAGTAGATTTTGTGAGAAGTAAAGTTGATAGTTGATATGTAGTGACTTTATCATTAACTGCTGTCGCAAACTAACCTGGCATTGCAAGTTGAAAATAAGAAAGTTATGAGTTTAAAACGGGCAATGCAAAACTTTTAGTTACATCTTATTAATTGATGGATGCTTTTCTCTTCTTTTGCTTGATTAGTTATTATTTGCTTTGATGTACTGTATAGTCATAGTTGTGAGTACTATGTTAAGTTGACCCTGTAGCATTTGATAGAAAGAATCTTGTTTCTTTTTCTGGAGTTCTAGTTTATGGATATATTAAGAGCAGTCTTGTATTGTGTTCCCATCTGCATAAGCTTTTATTCTCTGGCATCTTTCCCTGTCTGCCCTGTGCTGCCATTGCATTTGCCTCTTGCTCTCTCTTGTTTTTTAGTATGCAATGGTCATTTTTGGCATGAATCTTCACGATATATGATGTTCTTTTCCTCCTCCTTTGTTGGACCTTGTACTGAGTGGTACAAAGTGCAATAGGCACATATTCTTTTCTTAGGTTCTGTAAGAGGGATTTTCTAAGCTTTTTCTTGCCCATGCCCTAGTCATCTTTAGTGTTCATCATATTCATTATAAATAAACGGCACCATGCCTTCCTGCTCCTATCCTATATCTTCATTTTTCTCACATCTTTCTTGAAGGTCTAAGGTCTCTAGTAGGTTGATTAGTGAAGACATGCGCTCCTAGAGTACCAGCTGATAGCCTTAAGGTGAAGCTGGAGTAGCAACTGCCTAGTTATGGTCCTGTAGGTTTCATAGATCCTGGTTTACATGACCTAATGTAAATATGCTTGAATGATTCATCTGGATAAAGCCAAGAGGTACTAGAAGATGTGTGTAAGTATACGGGAAAGCAACGTAGCTCGATTTGACATACATAAGTGGTGTAGATGAAGAGATCCTAAACATGTTGGAGGTAAAATTGTGGTAGGCGTTCTTTTCTGTCTTGTTGTAAGGAGATGTATTTTTGAATAAAGTCCTTGAGGAATATTTTTGGAATCCTGGACAAGTCAATGAAATACTCGTTTTGATTCAGGTTGGGCTAGAAGTAAAATCCACCCCATGCTTGTCCTCTCCCTTTTTCGAATCTTTGTGCCTGAATGTCGAAGACACTTTTCATGTAAATGCTTACATTATTCTTAGCGCAGTGACTCTTTGGAAATTTCTATTCAAGATGTACACAGTTATTTACAATGACTAATTACTACATGTTCAGCACCAGAAGATAAAAAGGATGCAAAACAAACATCTCCTTTGCTTTATTACAGTTTCTTTACAAAGAAATCTTGTTCATTCATGTAAGGTGATATTCATTTTGGTAAAACTGAAATATGAAGAAACTTGAATGAAGAATTCAAGTTAAAGAAAGAAAAGGCAAAATATAAAAGCTTCAATAAATCTAGCCAACGATAAATGAATGTGTAAGCACTTAACAAATTACAAGTGCCACGGGATTAGTGCAGACTGCAGACAAAAAGTTTAAACGTTCAGCACCAATATACTGGATTCCATGGGAAGAGTGTCCTTCGTGCCTTGTTGAAGAACCGTAAATATTTTTCCATTTAAAGAATAGATTTGCCAGAAAATCAGCAGTTCCTTTAAGAAACCCCTGGCTTCATCTCATGGTTTAGGAACCCTTCTGAAAGGATGAGGCGATTAGTTATCATTAACCAAAGTCTCCCATTTGTTGTACGTATCTTCTTTGTCAACTTAATAATAACCTTGGTCAAATTGACGTAACAACAGAATCAATCTTCCCAAAGGGGCTTCAAGAATAGCTTGTAGAGTTGTTGTGGACGTCCATACATAGTGTGCCACTAATGGACATAGAGCAGAAAGTAATTTAAACAAAATGCAGTAGAATTGCCATAATTTTTGTTGTTATAAACAGCTTAAGCATGTACAGTACAGTAGAACTTAAATACCTCTTGAGTTGCTAGCAGTAACAGATATGTAAAGTCCCACATGATAAGCCTCCTTCATATTTGAAGATTGCTGAAACCAGGAAAGCTATGCCATTCAGCCTGCTTCCTACATAATGCCCTCTGTGTAATATGAATAACGTGCATGGTCATTACCATTTATCAAGGGCACATCGATTTATACTTCATTCTGCCCATCCTTCCCCAGCATATGCAGTTCAGCCACTGTTTGGAAGAAGGCCATCCTTGGCCATTTCAGTAAGGACATTGAAAGCTGCATCCATGTTCCCTTCTTTGTGGTTTATCTCAACAAGTACTTTAGCAAGCTCAGCATCAATAAGCTTACAGCTTCTAATTGTGTTTGCTATGACTTGACTTATCTCGTCAGTCTTACCATCCATGAATAGCGCTTTAACCAGAGCAATAACAGTCACAGTATGAGGAACAAAACCTGAATTCACCATTTCTTTATACAGATTGTATGCCTTCTGAATGTTTCCACCTCTACAATGACCATGTATAATAACATTATATACAGCTTCATCAGGCTTATAGTTTCTCTGAAGCATCGACTCAAAAACTCGATCAGCTTCATTCATCAAACCATTCATACAAAATCCCTTCATAAGAGCTAAAACACTTTTAAATTCAATATTACTACAGTTCTCTATCAGCGTATCATACATGACATCACTTGGGACAGACTCATCATAAAACAACTTGAGCAAAAGCTTTTTTGCTTCCCTTGTCCTAGCTTGTTTATTGAGACCATTGATGAGCACGCTATAGGTAACAACATCAGGAAGTAAGCCCTTCCGAACCATTTCATCATGCAAAAGAAAAGCCTTCTGTATATCCCCTTCTTTGCAATAAGAATTAATTAAGGTAGTATATGTAAATTCATCAGGAGTGACACCAGCATTCAGCATCTCCTGGAAAAGATCACAAGCTTCAGTAAGTCTACTCTGCTGACACAGACCTTGAGTCAATGATGAATATGTAATTGCATCTGGTGAAAATCCTTTCTCAACCATCTCCTGCTTCATTCGGAATGCCCTCTCCAAATCCTGGGTTTTACAAAATCCAGAAATAATTGTACTATAACTTACTAAATCTGGAGCCAATCCTTTTCCCACCATATCCTGTATCAATTTTAAACCCTCTTCTATGCTTCCAAGCATACAGTGTCCATTAATAAGAGTATTATAAGTAACTAGCGAAGGTGAAAATCCATTCCTACCCATTTCATCTAGTAACCGATAAGCTTCATTTAAATGTCCTTGCTGGGAGAACCCATCAATCAAAGTAGTATATGTTCTCTCATTTGGACGAAGTCCTCTAACATGCATCTGATCAAAAAACTCCATTGCTCTGTTCATATTCCCAGCCTTGCACATACTATGAATCAATGAAGTATAAGTAATGACATTTGGAGTCAAGCCATTCCTCACCATCTCTGCATGCAAAACCAGCGCTTGATGAAAATTGCCATCTTTACAATACCCATTTACAAGTGTATTATAAGTGATCTCATCCGGAGAGAAACCTTTCCAACTCATCTCCTGTAGTACCTCACTTGTTTCCTTCATCCTACCTTCTCTACACAACCCATTGATAATCACATTATAAGAAATCAAATTTGGCTCCAAACCCTTCAATCCCATTGCCCTCAACAACTTAAATGCATTATCAATCTTCTTCAACTTACAATGTGCATCAATTAAGGTATTATAAGTAACCACATTAGGCAAACAACCCTTTCTCTCCATTTCACTGAAAAACCTCATACCCATATATAAATTCCCCGCCGTGCAAAAACCCCTAATCAAAATGTTATAAGTAAAAACATTTGGTGTTACCCCATTTCTAATCATCTCAGCAAAAACCTCCTCAGCAAATCTAACCGGCTTTTTACACCTAATCACCGCGTCTAAAATAGCATTATAAGATAAAACCCCAGGCATAAAACCATTAAATTTAGCTAAATTAACAATATTAAGAGCCTTAACAATCAATTTCAAATGGGCATAAGATTTTACCACCAAGTCAAAAACAGAGGAGCTTGAAGCAGACGAATGGTAGGTTTCCTTGAGGCATTGAAAGACGAAACTACCCTTTTCATCATCGGACGTATTAACGGCAACGTCCTCTGCTAGGGATTGTGCTGATTTGTAGAGCTTGAATTTGGTAAGGATGTGGAGAGTGAGGCATTTGCACTGAGGGGTGAAGAACGGGTGGGGTCGAGCCCATTTTAAGAATTTCAGGATTAGGGTTTGATCGTTTTGGGACTTGAGAAGCAAACAGAGAGCCGCTTCAGGAGTGAAATTGGAAGTGAGGGCATTTAAGCGGTAAGGGTGGCGCTTGAGGAAAGTTAGGGCTTTGTCTGCGAGGAGGGCATCGGCGGGAGATGAGAGGGAAGAGAGTGAACGGTGAATTTGGAGGTTTAATAAGAGCATTTCGGGGAAACTGTGAGAGGTAAGGTTCAACAGAGGTTCTACGGGAAGACCCAGTAGAGCCGTTAAAGTTGGAAGCCCTCGTTTGCAGGGTTGTTTCCACTTGGAACTTTCAAGTTTGTTCCTTTTAAGCTTATTCTTATTTTATATTTGTTGAGTTTCAGAATTTTTCTTTTTTAAATTGCCCACATTTTTTATTTATTTCTTTTCCAGCCGTAAACGGTTATCTAGTTACTTCTTTGTAGCATCGAGACTGCTTACCAATAGTGTTGCCATTGTTTAGTTCCTGTATTACCAAGTCATGGAGAAAATACCTGATCTTCCATTGGAAACAAAGCAAATCCTCCTTTAAAGCAAATATTTCCCTGGCTGGGATAAGCTAGAATTGGGAAAATAAAAAATCGAACATATATAAATAATCACAACGTGTAACAAGACAAATATGTTTGGCCCATTCGGGCAAGCTAAACTATATTTTTACATTGTGATGCCAATGATATCTTTGCTGCCTTTCAAATGATCCCATGACTTCAAACTTCTCAAAGAATTAGTATGAAGTTAAAGCCTCACACCATCTGGGCTGAAGCAGGATGCAGGGAGCATTCCTGTGGAGTCTCCCAACTTAGAAAGATCAATCCATTTTTACAGTATGCTGATGCCGCATCTCATTGAATCTTGAGCAAACATGACATGATAATACTTCCTAGAGTCACCAAAATTCCTTGAAGATATCATTGCGCCTTTGCAAGCGCTCGACCGGATGGACCACGTAACAATTTGACAAACCCAAGGAAACTTAACTTCCCATCAGTATGCCTTATCCAGTCATTAAGAACAGCATGAACTGGAATAGAGGGTCCAAGACCAAGTTCCTGAAAAATTAATTTTCACAAAAGATGGTATCAATTAGTAAGTCTAATTTGTTCCAAGGACTACTGAATTTCACAAACTTTTGTCACTTCAAGCACAGTGCCACTTCAGTTTGCATGCGATGATTCAATTTCTAATTTAGTATCATCACACAGATCATAAGCTATTCTTTAATATCTAAAAGAAATCTGAACTTACAGAAGCAAGTTCCTCAATTACAATAGCCCTGTTTCCATCCTTCTCAAAAAGCTCATATGCACAGCGGGCATGTTGTTCCCAGCGATCAAGTGCCTCAAGTTGATGGACACTTAATGCAGCTGCACAAAATTCTTCAAAATCCATTCTTCTGTATTGAAGTGTATTTAGCTGTGGTGCAATGGAAATTAAATGAAATGTACTTGGATAAGCTACTATTCTATAGCCAAATAGTCAAGGAATGGCTACATAAAGAAAGAATAACAACTAAGTTCACACCGAAAAAAGAAAATCAGGAATGTGAGACTCCTTCATTGCATCTGTTGCATTTTTCATCAGCGCCTGTTAGCAAGAAAATAAATTATCAGAACAAGTTCTTTATTTACTAACACTATGGCAAACCTTTATTTCTATTTCTCTTTTTCCGTTTTTCCATGGGGGTGGGGGGGGGGTGTTGGCGGTGGGAGTTGCAATATGGGAGGCAAGACTTAACCATCTTTATGTTCTCCAAGGTTATGCTACCATTTTTGGGCTCCAATAATGCAAATTGCTCTCTCAGGTAAAAGAGTTCATCCACAGTCAATGTCTTAGACAATGCCTGCAGGAATGATATAAGATTGCTATAGGTAATAGAATGTAAAACCTGATAAAATCCGTTAAGAACAATCCATGTATCAGATCTCCCCACTAATAATCATAAATGACATACTTATGGATCAAGAAACTAAGAAAAACCACTCACCGGAGTTGATTTTAAAGGCTTATTTCTTAGTAGCAAAAATAAAGTTTTAAAAGGTCTTTGATTCTCCAGGGCTTTGTGGAGCTCATCATTTAGGTAAAAGACATGCATAAGAGATCATTTATGGCTTCTTACATCATACTAACAGGTTCACTTACGTATCAAGTCATCAATGTGTCATGCTTTATTGAATTTGCATGACAAATTACTGAGAGAACGAAGTAATAATAAGCAAAGAAACAGAAAGTACATTTTTGCAAACAATGATTTGACCATAAGCGTAATGGTCATAAGACCAGCTGTTAGAACTGGTATATGTAGAGTACAAGAAGAGGATTTTTCTCATTAGCACACACCTTTAAAGCAGCCTTACGCAAAGTTGACGATCGCATATATGCCTTCATGAGCCTAAATATTAAAATATCAAGAGGGACCTTAACATCATTATGATTCTGGATCCAAGGATGACCTGTAAAAGGAAGACGAAGGTCAGCTACTCTAGCAGGATGATTTCAGCAACCTATCATCATTATGAGTAAAAATGATGCACGCACTCAGCGCCTTGGCTGCTGTCATTCGTTTCCTGGGGTCTTTATTCAAAAGGCGCTTCACAAAGTCCTTAGCTTCTGAAGACAAGGAAGGCCAAGGTGCTTCGTTAAAATTTGGATCAGCTTTTAGGACTGATCGGAAGATTCCAGACTCAGTCCTTGCCCAAAAAGGACGACTACCACATAAAAGAATATATGCTATCACGCCTATGCTCCAAACATCAGCTTCTGTACTGTAAGATCTATGTAGAACTTCGGGGGCGACATAGTATGCACTTCCCACAATGTCATTAAGTCTTTCATCTGGAAACACCATAAACATAAGAAATTTAGCAGAATCCCCAGGGCTGAGCGGGAGGAGGCTGAGTGAGCAGAATACAAACCTGGTCTGACAAAATCTGACAACCCAAAGTCTATGGCCTTCAGCAGAGAGTTCTCATCCTTTGATATATATAGAAAGTTCTGGTCCAGAAAAGTGCTAAATTAGATTGCAACAATTAAAAAACACATAAAAATTCTTAATTTATTTAGCCAAATCATGTCCAATATCTACCATAGAAATATGGTAACAGACTCAGGCATGATGATGTGGCATGAGAAATGTCCTAGAATTTTAAGCAGAGAGTAGACACAGCCTCGTCCAGTTCGAGAATTTCCCCTAAACCCCTCATCAGGGCAATTTTCAGCATAGGAAATCATCAAATATAACTCCCATTACATCCCTGTTATGCTCTGTGTTTAAAGAAAAAAATCCAGAATGTGTTTAATCTTGCACCCTTTGGAGATCACTACCTAGTCATGCATTTATGCTTTTACTATTGAGTAAGAAAAAAGAGAATTTGCTCCACCTCTGGTTTAAGATCTCGATGCACCACACCCTGAAGATGACAAAAAGCAACAACATTTAGTATCTGTACCATTACAGCCTTTGCATCGTCTTCTGAGTATTTTCCACCCCTACAAACATAATAAACCTTCAAGTTAGAGCAAACAAATTAAGTGGATAAGAGAGCTACAATAAACAATTCTCAAAATTTGAGCCATCCATTACTAGAATAATCACCTTGCAAGTATTCTATCCAAAAGCTCACCTCCTTCACACAACCTGCACTTTCAATTATGTTACTCAAAATTTTACCTCAGATCAGAGATCAACAGTAACTTATAATGAACCAGCAAGTAAGAAGACCAACTGCCAGAGTATTAAATATTTAAAAATATTTATAAGTACCAGAAAGCAAAAAATGAAGATTAATAGTTTGTAAATAATACCCAAAAGAAATAAATGCTAATGCTTCTTATTGACTTTTCCACATAAATCAATATTGCTGTGCAAAATTAAAATAGGATTATATGAATAGCAGTGCATGTTTCAAGCTTACTCCATTACTATGTAGACATTATCATGATCTTCAAATGCACCGTAGAATTTCACCAGATTGGTATGTCCTGTCAAGGCTCGCAATATTTTCACCTCCCTTCTCACATCCTCAACTGCAATAGCTGTTGTCATCTGACAAAAAAGAATAAACTGTCACGAGCAAAACACATAGAAGACGAACCAAGAGAATAAACAAAATTCAACATCATAATCTCACTTCCTCGAACCTTCATTACCTACACATAGAAAAAGAACCCAGAGAAAAAGCAAAATACAGCATAAGATCATAATCTCACTGCCTTGAACCTTCATTACCTAGAACTTACTTCTCCCGACAAACACAACTTTATTGAAGATAACTAGACATAGAGCTTTTTTCTTCACAATTTATTTGATATTTTCAGATGAAGAAGCAAGAAAATGATAGATAGAAGTGACCTCTGTCTTCAACTTCGCATTGTCAATATAATTTTCATGGTTGACAGACAAATACTGACAAATGCTAACCACTCACATTGTCATTATAATTTTCATAACAGATGTCCGTCTTTATTTCCCAGAATAAGTGGATACTTTTGCCTAGAAAAAATACAAGTGCTTTTCTATGAAAAGAAAAATTTTACAGAACTGACAATCAACTGAAATACTTTCCCTCTTTGAAACTAAGTCACATGGGAGCAACAGGAAAAAAAAGGTTAATTTGAAGAAACTTTCATCAGTTCTATTCTATTGCATGTTGTAAAAGGAAATTCATCCCTATCCCTTCCTCCAATACTTTCTTTTCCCGTTCAGTCACAAGGTGCATCAAAGATCAAAGATTAACATATGAGAGGAGGAATGAAGGCAATACAGCGACTTATTAGCTATTACAAAATCTTAAGCCATCTTGCAAGGAGGGGTAAATTCAATCAACTTGTCCTTGTCATAAGATATTGATCTGCAGCTAAGATTTTGTCAGCCCTCAGTTGAGAACACTCTTATCACGAATCATCTAATATTTGGTCAGTCAAAGCATAAGAACAAAATGATTCAATGTTTCTCTCCACCATGTAAAGGTTCAAAGCACCTCTTTAAGGTCAATTGACCAAATAAAAATTAGGGCCCAACTACATACCAAATCCAGATAATGCTGTGCAATCAAACTACAACCATTTGTTTTTTCGGCTAGGCTGTATGTATAAGCATAACAGAATATAAGGCATTAGTTGACTGGTTATGCACGACCCAGACTAAATTACAGGCCCAAAGTTAAGACCCCATTTAAGACCATAACGCTTTTAATAATTCAGTCTATTCATAACCATTGGATAGCGGTGCTTCAGTAGCAACTGTCAATTCTGAGGTGCAGAGAAAGTGACATGTCAATAAGTTTACGGGAGAATTTCAACATTTTTTTATCATACAATATTCACTTCCACCAGCGTCCAGCCATACAACTTAGTGATGCAAAGGTGCACTTTTTTGGGCCAAGCTGTGATTTAGAACTAAAATATCCAAGTAAGATGCGGTAAGCTTAACACATCAATTAATCCAGGGGGTCAGGTGGACCTAAATAATAAATTATCGATCATAACCAGTGACCCCAGAGAAATCAATAGACAAACAAGTTGGTCACTTTATGCGGTATTACAGTCAAAATCAGACGTAAAGTACTGAATTTAACCCCGCATTTTCTCCATCTAGAAGGAGTAAGTTCTCCCACGATTTCTTCTTCCGTCAAGATTCTATTCACTTCAGACCAAATTCAGACTAAAGTCTTCAACCCACGCACCTTGAAATTAACATTTAAAAGAAAATGGAAACAAAAAATACAAGACTAAAATGTAAATATAAAAACAAAAAACCTCTCTTCGGAAAAGAAATAAAAGATCATCATAAACAGGTCGAAAACTAATGTCAGCCAAAACGGAAATCTAATACTTATGAGAAAGTAAAGCACATGGCCCTTAAATTCAATCTTAAAAAAGGAAAAAAAAAAACCATTTTGTAAGCATACAAAATCAACATTTACAAATACAGATTTGATATGCATTGTAAAAATGTATAAACTTTAAAAAGAGAAAAGCATAAAAGGACCAACCTTGGACTTGGGGATGACTTTAACAGCAACCTGCTGGCCTTTGAACTCACCTTTCTTGAACTTAGCAGAACAAGTGTACCCAAAATGCCCTCTGCCAACTTCCTCTCCTACTTCCAACCTACTCCTCAACTCCTTTGAAAACCCAAATCTTTTATCCAACTCAACTCCTTCCTCCTCATCCTCCTCATCCTCCGCAATTTTTGCCTCATTTTCCGCTTTCTTGATAGTCTTCCGCCGCCTCAGCACCGCCCGGATGTGCTTGGCGGGAGAAGGAGGAGGAAAGGGTCTCCGGAAAAACCGGAGAGGAGTTGAAGGAGTCTTGGGTTTGTTGGGGTGGGCAGGGCTTGGGGTGTAGATGGGGAGGAAAGGGGTGGTTGGAGGGAGAGGAGGAGGAGGGGATTTGGGCGGTTGAGTAGGGGCAGGATAGTCATTCTGCTGGTTCTCTCTTGAGGCAAATGGGTTTGGTTTTGGAGGCTTTGAGGTGCAGGTTCCCATTGCAGAGGAAAATTCAAGAAATCAACAAGCAAATGCTGCTTGCATTTGAGAGATTTTTGAGGTTCAGCTTGTTGCAAGAGACACAGAGAGAGGGCGAGATGAGAGAAGGAAAAAAAATATAAAAACAAAGAGAAAAGTGAGATTTTGCTGTTGTTTGTTGTTGTAAGAAGAGGAGGGAGAAACAAAGAAGTGAAAGTGATTAACGTCAGCCGTACAAGCTTGCATCCACGTGTCATGCACAGGAGCTTTTGTTTTTTCCTTTGAATGTTCCTTGAGCAGTGTGTAAAGGAGTTTGTAAGTAGTTTGCCAGTGGCAATGCCCATACTTCATTGCCCTTCAAAACTGTATAATAAACCCTCGAAACAAGCTTTTGCTCTGTTAAATACTACTAACCCATTTCGGAATCAATGCAACAGCTCCAATTTAGCTTGTCTTTTGTTGTTGTGATCCCTATATGATCCATTGCTGGGAGCTTAATCTTATTTTTCTTTGCTTCTTCTCTTCTTTTTAGCCTATCCATTCATTTATAAATTTTTATGAAACATAAAGTATATTATTTATCGATCGAGATAATATGTAATATTCTTTTAATCATAACAATTGTCATCAAAACTAATACTATAATTCGATTGGTTTACATGTTAAAAAAAATATTACAACAGTAGTTATTTAAGTGTTTAAAATAATGTTCTTACTTTTTGAAAATTGAAACCACTTCTCATAGCTTGTTATTTAAAATTGCCTTAATCCGTAAAAGCGCAATCATATGCTTAATTATTGAACTTGCTCACTTTACTAAGTTTTACCCATTTTGTTAAATGACCAAACTTCACATTTACATAACTTAGTTGAGAAGTTTAAGGATTTTTTTTTCTTTTTTTACATTGATCAAATCTTTGGTGTGCAACAGCTCATAATCATGGACAAAGTGAGGTAAAAGGGATTCATCTTCATTTACTACTTTGGGGCTTTGCAGCCTTAGTGCCTTAGATTTTAAGGGTTTAGCAGCTTAGCCTAAGTTCATCCATTGGGGCCACTAGACTTCTGATTCAAAGACCTCTGGAGCTCACTGTAAAAAATTGTACCATGTTAGTTGCCTAGAAAGAAAACATGCATTGTAATTTTCTCCTTTTTGGCATCTATTTTTTTTTTCTCACACCTTTTCTTGTAAAATTCCTCTCCCCCACTCTATGTGAGATCATGGGTGCCTGCCATTTGACGGAACACGAAAGCTTACTTTACTCAATCTAATCAAAGGTTAACGAAAGCAGCATAGCAAATTTAAATTTTGATTTGTGGGGTTAATTATTCCATGCTATTTTCCCACCCTAAACTAGTAAAAACAATGTCTTTGTTTCTTCCCTTCTCCCAACTAGAAGCTAAAATATTCTTTTAAATGATTTATATATACATATCTTAAAGAGTTCCAAAACAGTCCGAGACAGATACAAACCTTGCAGTACTTGCACATGCAGCCAGCAAAGTAAATTGACATGCACGTACAAAGAAATTTAAGTCAGTAAGGAAACTCTGAGCTCTGATTCTTAATTAGTTGAGGCTTATCCAGGTCACCAGTTTCTTAAGTATACCTTGGGTTATAGTTGAAGCTTTGACTGAAAATCTCTCAACAATGCATGTTCCTGTGTGTGGAATAGGATGGACATCATCATTAAAATATATGCAGAAATCATGGGTTTCATGGATTAATAATGTAGAGATCAAAGATTCGTATAAATGTAACGAATCATGATCTGATTAACCTCAGGGGATTAAGAGCACTAAAATATACCATTGAGGCTTAAAAAAAGCAAAGCACCATAAATAAAGTCACATGGAGTCCATGCCCTATGTTGTTTTTGATCAAAGGGTATTTGCCGTTGTACCAGCCATATATAATATATATTAAATGAGACTTATGGCTTACCTCCTTTTCTTTTTTTTTTCAAAGGGTATTTCTCACTTTTGAGGTAATTCCTCGTCTTGTGATGCCTTCTGACAAAGGTCTAATGATAATTGAAGGTAAAATAAGATTTAGTAAGCGACATATTAGGCCTTTAATTATTGTATAAAGAGTTCTTAATTATTGTAACCGCTTATATATATATATATATATATATATATATATATATCAACACTTCTCCTTTTGAAAGATAAAACAGATATTAATGCAAATGAAAGAAAACATTGAAACTAGACCTATGGTTAGAACTTTAGATTAAATTTGGTATTATCCAAATTGATATGATAGTCAAAGAACTACGTTTCTTTGATATTAATGCATTTGATTCTATATCGATTGGAAAGCTTTCAGTCAAATAATAACTTCGAGTAACACGTTGTAGAAAAATATTCCAACTGTTAGCTATTATAATATTTTATATGAAATTAATTTAATTAATTTCAAACATTGATAATAGAATCTATTAAAAGATGATGGTGTAATATGTCCCTAAAAAGAGATTTTGATACGTAAATACTATAGAAATTAAACCTCATCTAAATAATTCTTCAAAAAAAAAAAAGACCTTGGTTCTTGGCCAAAGAAAAAATCCATTAACTACTTGTAAGTATTATTTTTTTTTTTGTAGCATGTCATGAATATTGCAATTGAACTTCAATCATTAATCTACCAACCAACCAACCATGATCATTTTAGCAATAATTTATCTTGAAAACTCTCTGTTACATATACAATATTATAAAAAATTTGACTTTTTTCACAAACTTTTTTATTAAAAAAAGTGAAAAATATGTTGGAATTGAATTTTTTTTGCAATGAAAATTTCATTGATGATGCTATAGTTGTTGAAAAAAAATTGAAAAATTTATCGATAAAATTTTAACTATTTGATGGAAAATTTTGTTGAAAAAAAAAATTAAAATATCGAAAAAAAATTAATCCATCGATAATTATAATATTAAATTTGTCAAAAAATACTAAATTACCTAAGAAAGGAAAGCAATTTTGGCAGATGATGTTAATCGTGGAAAGGAGTCTCGCACAGTTAAATTGCAACCAAAGTCATGAAAAAAGGTGAAAGCTTTTCCAATATCTAAGAGCAAAGAGAGGATTCGTCGACCATCCCCACATTTGTTTATGGTTTTTCTCTTTATTGTTCCTTAAAGAGTCCTCAACGTTATTCACTCAAAAGGAAGAAGAAAAAAAAAAAAAACCCTTTTTGAAATTTCTCACCCCTTGTCTGAGTCTCACCGCCATGATTGTGTATGAAGAAAAACAAGTGGGATCCCCACTAAATGGTTAAAGAATGCCATTGTTGTTTCTCATCAAGATGTTTTTGACATGTAGGGACGCCATATTGACCATTCAACTGAAGCTATCAATCTGTATATATTCACTTAATCAATGGCATTTCCTGTTACTGTGTGGTTTGGTCCCATCTACATGCACTACCTTTACTCTCTCAATTCTCAGTATTTTATTTTGCATTTCTTTTTCCTTTTTATTTAGTTAGTATGAGGGTGAATTTTTGCATTTCTTTTAGTCATTAATGCATAATTTTTGTTACTTATTCTGGGTACAATATTTTGTTATTCCTTATTAGAAAGGACCTTTTGTTATGTATATGTTATAACTTGTTTCTCATAGTTATAGCTTTTTGATACTCCCTAGTTACAATTTTTTGTTATTTCTTGTTAGATTTTTTATTACGTGTAACACCTATTTGTTATTCCTTATTACAATTTTTTTTGTCACGTGTTACAATTATTTGTTAATCTTTGTTATAACTTTTCGTTATTTTACGTTATAACTTTCTGTTAGTGTTAAATTAATTAAATGTTTAGTATTTTAACTATAATGAAATTGTTAATTTGATATCAGAAAAAAAAAATTAAATTAGGTACTTGATCTTTGTTTCCGTTAAGCTAATTGTATTTTTGACTGATTCTTTTAATCAAATGAGTGATATGTCCAAAAACATTTGATCATAATATATCATAAGTTAAAAAAATCCAAAAAACAAAAAAAAAAGAAAACTATAAAAAATAAAAGAAATAAAAAAGAAAGATAGGAAGGAAATGGAAAGAAAGGGAAGAGAGAGAAAAACTTATTCACATTTGATGTGAGATGTGATATCACAATCTCACCCAACTTAAATTCTTGATGTACTCGTTAAGATCATACATCATAATCATCGCAACTAAGACTGTGATTTACTTGGCTCGAGGCTGCTAATAGGGACTAACCAATAACCGATTATCATTCATGTCTAATGTGAGATGTGGTATCATAATCTTACCAACTTAAATCGTTGATGTCGTCATCATTAAAGTTTGCTTCACTAGACCAAGATTTCACCACTCCAATATAAGTGCTTAATACCAATTATAACGACTCAAGTATAAACACTACTAACTTAATAACTTTCAAACCCACGTAATTTAAAAGATTTAAACTTGTGTTGTTATTAGTAATTGACTTAAATTTTTATATAAGTTTTAACAATCTCATCTACATCTACTTGGGATGTGGTATATCACATCCTTTCTTTGTTCTTTTTTTTTTTCATTTTTCCCTTTCTCTTTTTTTCAATTTTTTAATTTTTTTTATTTTTTTATTTAAAAAATTAAAAAATTGTAGATATTTTAAAACAAATAACGTAACTTTTTGTAAACATATGATATGATATCTAATCCTACATTATACGTTAATGTGATTGTTAATACTTATATAAGAGTTTAAGTTAATCACTATTAATAATATAAGTTTCAGTTTTTAAAGTCCACAAGATTTAAGTTCAACAAATCATTGAGCTAGTGGTGCTTAGACTCATATTGTTACATTAATGGACAAGACCATAGGGATGAATTGACAATTTTGATATCATAGTGTAGATACTTTTCAAGTTATTTAGGATTGATCTTTCAAATTGTTAACTTTTAAGTTAATTTAAGTTTAGATCAATTCAGATTTGAATCATTTCATATTTAGATTGAGTTGATTTTAGAGAGATAAAACGGATTAATCTTTCGAATCATTAGCATTTAGGTTAATTTAAGTTTAGATCAATTCAGATTTGAATCATTTCATATTTAGATTCATTTGCATTTAGATCAATTTGGATTCAAATTGATTCGAATAGGGATCAATGCAGAAATATGTTTGGATGAGTTTAAATTATTGATTTTTTCATCAATTCAGGTTGAGCCAATTTTAGACAAATAAAATAGATTTGTAAAATTCAAATCAGTTTTTGGCAACCCTATTTGGTAATTTCAATACTCTACGTATCTATGAACCTTGCTTGCCTAACTTTTAGTTAACTAGTTATAAAAAATATTACTACTTATTAATTAAAGAATGCAAAAAAGATGCTTGACTTTTGGAGCATTCTGAAATACATTAATTGGGTTATGTGGTAAGAAAAGATGGCATTTAATACAATTACTATTAGGTTTTTTAGAAGAAGAAGAAGCAAAAATCTTTCAACTTAAATTTGATTATTTCTATAAAATAGTGCTAATCAAGGATTGTATTTTTTTTTAATCAATTCTGAGACTAAAAGTGATGAATTTAATTAATTATATCTGTTTTTTTTTTTTGGCGATATGAGCAAACAAGAAAAGTCATTGCCGAAACAAGTTGTTGTCATTTGCAACCTAATCTGAACTAGTAATTAATAACCTAACCTGAAGAAATTATGCTCTGTCTACTTTTAGGGTGCCCACACGTCTATATGTGATGGACATAAGTGTAATGCATAATGCATACGTAAATCATGCATCATAGTCTCCTCTTTTCTCTTGCTTTCTTTCTAATTTTCTCTTTGTTTGGCACCTGTACTGAATTATGCATCATAGACTCGGTACATCCCTACGGACTGATATCATCTTCTTGCATTCATTGCAGTTATCAGCCTCTCTTTTCAGATTGCATCGATTGCCCTTAATTAGTCTATATATTTTCCTTTTGCACGCGTTGATGTAAAATAACCCTATATGTCAGGCAGATGCAAAAACATGTCCATTTGGTTAATTCATGCCATGATCAGAAGATGGTATAACTCTAGTTGATTTGTTTTGTAATTTGGAACTGTGAAGTAGAATATTTTCAGAGTCTGGGAAGGAAAAACAAGGGATGAATACAATGTTAAAAGTAAATAGAGTTGGGGATGATTGGTAACACCTTAACGACTGATAAAGAAAAAACCAGAAGTGATACAATGATTTATCATCGGAATTGCTACCTTTATTGGGCCAGTGAACAGCTATTGAAAAGCTGAACTTGACAGCTCATTGACCGTGGTCCTTGGGCGGAGCCATATCCATTTGATGCTCAAAAGCCACATGAAATCTGAATTAGCTTTTGCAGCGGATGGGCGAAAGCTAACAACAGAGAGAACTACTACTAATCAGTATGTATATATACAAACGTACAACAAAACTTCCAAAATGGTCCCTAAACATTTTGGAACAATGAAAATAAAGAGATTCTGATAGATATAAACAGCCATCAGAATATAGACGTATTCATTTAATAGAAAAGAGGTGAGAATGACATTACAAGCAATGTCTATTTATGGGGAAAATATCACATAACAGTGTCGTTTGTATGCAGTTTGTGGCGAAATTTGTGCTTCATTGGGGTCAAAATGTCAATATTGCTTGTAAGTGATGGTATGGCATCCTCCGCCAATCCATCAGGAGTGTCGTTATTGATTTCTTGTCCGCAACCTATCCTTGGTTGTTAATTTGTTGTCCGATCCTATCCGAACCCATTGCATGTCTCCTGAGCTGGCATACAGTTCCTCTTTGATCGTAACTACAGTGATGGTTTGTACTTTAGAAGATGACCCTTTTGGTTCATTAGAAATTTAATGGGGGATAATTGAAGACAATTTTGTCTCCGATTCAACATTTACAAAGAACACTGGGACACGAGAGTAGAGATCATTTCAGCCTTTTATATTTCATCCATTGCAGGTAACATGGTTCCCTGATAAAAGCAACACCATTTTTCTTACAATAATAAAGAAAGAAGAAGATTATGAAAGTGAAAATTGCTAATTTCATTCGATTAATAAAAAGGGAAAAAGTAATATCCATAATCCATGAAGCCTAAAAGGCATGTGGTGTTGGATTTCTCATACCAGTTCTACACTGATTCCATGTCGAAGTTCAAGCTATACTAAATCCACCAGAGGTTTGCTTAAATAATACTACAATGTGTAATCCCTCCTCATATGAACAGAGTTCTGGATATGCCTTGATCAAATGAAAAATCCAAGAGTATTTGTATAGTTCTAATAACGAAAAATACTACACAATTATAAACTCAGATATTTACCTTTCATTTGACTCTTACACCTCCTGCCATATCAACAGTGAAATACAATGTACCGCATCATGGAACTAGGAAGTAGATCCATCAGACAACGGCATTGTGAAGATACAGAGCATGATTCAATAGCTACATCCAGTACATTGTTCCTCCCGCTCCAGAGAGGCATTAGCATAGAAACAAAGGTTTAAGAAGGGTTATTGAGTATTGTATAACACAGCCAGCACTCAATTTTGCATACCAAGTCCACAAGTACTGGACTGCTTCCAACATGAACGAGATTGCTCATCTGTAAGCGCCAGTTTTCCAATGGGTTCCTAGTCAATCTTCAATCAAGTAACAAGTTATGAATTCTAAACTCCCAGTTCATTCAAACAGGCAACTAATTCAATGCAGAAAGGAAAATGGAAAGATGGAAAATTGCCTTATCAAATGGCTACCCTACAATATAGGAAAGAAGGTGACATAGTTGTAACCATTAGATAAAAAACATTTCCTTCCACCAAAGTTGCCTCAATTCAGGAAGCTCTCAAGGGGTATTCTTTCAAAAGAAAAAAAATGGGTTAACTATCGAATACATTTATATCCCAAATTCATGATAGTAGGCAACAAGCTGCCTTCTAATCAGTTCACGGAATTATGCTACCCGAATAACCAAAATACCAAAAAAATTTTTTCTTTCTTTCCAATTATTGATTATGGACAAGGGTTTTCAATAATCTGTTTCTTTTTTTTTTTTTTTCAGTAGAAGCCGACATATAATTATGAAATAAAGAATGAAGCCAAATGAAAGAGATTTGAAAGGAAGAGAGTGAATAAAAGTAATTCGTACAGAAGCATGAGAGGTGAATAGAGGATGGGATTGTGAGGGCAGACAATACAGGCGTATTTTCCGGTAGAGAGCTTCTTATAACATGACCCATCAACCCCTCCGATAACAACTTGATCTATTCTTCTCATCCCCAGCCATCCCCTCCGAATACACTCATCTTCTTGTCCCTTCCACCCTTTCTCTTTTGTTTCCATGCCGCTCTTCATTCTGGGTATATCAGCAAGAGATGGACGATCCGCCCCATAGGCCTTAGACAAGTCCTTTGGGCCTAAGCTCAGATCCCTTAGCCCTTTTCGTTTCAAAGAAAATTAAATCATGAACTTAATGCAAGAGAAAAAATTCATACAGAATAAGACAAACACTGTCAAACTGAGTTAAAACACTTAGACAAACTTGAAATTTCTCTTATTGAACAAAAATTATTAAGTTGTAGACTATAGTTGGAATGTACAGACACCATTTTTAACTTAAAAACTCACCTTATATATATTACACAACACTAAAATTTCAAGAAAATCATCCCTAGCAAAACACATTTGTCTCAAGCAAAGCTTTATTGTTTATTTCCAAGCTCAATATAAAATAAAATTGACAAACAAAAATATCAATCCATATAATAATTCATATTCACGAAAGACCTTGTATAAGCGTCACTGCAATTTTTTCTACTGTCATCATCTCAATCGATCAACGGTGACCTAAATACTAAATTTTAGTTACTAATTTATTAATTTTTAAAAGATTGTTTTACAACAAACATAACGGTGTATGATGAGTAATTATAATAATTAAAATAAATAAAATAATTATATTACGTGAATAAAATTAATGAAAGTAATTTCAAATCAATAATAAGATTCATAAATTATTATTATTTTAAAATAATTTAAAAAGTTTAGTTTGATGGTTTAAATATAAAGATAATTAAAAGTTTTTCTTTGTACTTGAGAACAAACAAGTCTCATCTCATTATTATAATGTTTGGGATCGACACACCAAGCAGAAGAAGTGAGGTGGGGGCAAGGGTGAGTGACTGATGAGTGAGATTAATGGTGGTTCTTAGTGCAGCGGGTTCGGTGCGTCTCCGTGGGGCAGGTTTTAATTTCTGCATGTTGTGGAGTTGACGTTTGCTTGCAGGAGGAGGGCCGGTTGATGTTCCTTCGGCTTCAGAGGTGGGGAGAGTTGTGTTGAAAAGGGTTGTCTGAAGCTGATTCGTTCTGGTGGAAAGGACAGAAATTAAAGCCCATCTCTAAGTTGGTTGGACTTTGCGTTCATTGTATAGGTTGATCCTACTTTTGTGACCCTTTTGCTTTTGACCTTCTACTAATATAGACCTATCAAAATGGACTTGGCCCATTAGGTCAGTTTATTTTTTTTTTAAATATGAGACGGGTCGGGTTTAAAAATTTAAATTTATATTAAAATTGGACCTAAACGAGTTAACCCGTTTAGGCCCGAGGGCTGACCAGGGTTGATACGGGCCAGCCCGACGGGTCCAAAAAAATTTAAATGTTAGTACGGGCCGGCCCATATTGACAGGTCTAGGGCTGGGGCAGGATCAGCCCATGGGTCAAAAAAATAATTTTAATTAATTTAATAATTTTATATATTTAATT